CTCTTATAAACCAATTACAAAGTTCTTCTCCTTCAGCATTTCCTCAGCATACAGAATATTATCTGGAAGGGAAATCCTTTAAACGAACCTCAGCAATATGTATGAGAGAGTGGATCACATGTGGTGGAGCATCTACGTTCCAAAAACCACCACCATGTCTTTCCATTCAGAGATGTGTCTACCATTAATCCATGGCCTCCTTCCAGCACACAGTGCTGTCATTTTGAAGAGCTGAATGTTGTGTCATCCGCCTTTCAGAATGATCCAACATCTCTTCTAAACTTGACACTTAAGCGTTATGAAAGCAAGCATCAGGGCCTGAAAAAGTTTGAAAGAACACTTCTACTGCAAAAAAAAAAAAAATCTTAATCAGGGGTTTTGCCATGTTAAACAATTTTACTCTGACATTTTACTTGGAATTTTTTTTTTCCTAACTTTTTTAACTTAACTGTCATCTGTCCCCTCTGTGGGACGCCTAAGTTTACTTCACTATATTACAATTAAATCCTAATCTAATCATGACAAACTATATATCGTTGGAAAGGTCTAAGACTCCTAAATATATATTTTACCAGTTTTTTGTTAAATATTATGTAGGAAAAGTAATAGATGAATTTATGACAAGAGTGCACCTCAAAAATCTACATCATAACAGGAGTTCTGACCTTTGTCACAAAAAGTCTTCTTCGTTGCCTTTTTCTCTATCACACTTTAGAAATCATCAGAAATTATATATCAATTGACAACGTAAAATCTCAAAATTCATCCTTTAAAAATAAAAAAACATTTTAAAATCAGACATTGCATTACCATGAAAATGGTACATCAAAATCATGTTACAAAATGTTTTCATTCATGAATTATAAAAATGTAAGTCTGGATCGTGTACTTTCACATCTATGTTCAAAAATGTGAGTGACAGTTAAGGGGTTAAAATAATTTCATTTGTATTACCCTACTTTAAAAATAATTTTATGGCTTAAATCTGATGACGATGTGTAATAATAATAATAATAATAATAATTGAGGCATAAACTATAATATAATATAATAATATAATTAAATATTACATTGACATATCAATAGAATATATATTGAATTATGTTTTTTTTTTACCATATTGACATTTTTTTAATTGTTTTAAAAATAAAGCACAATAAATTTGATGATGATGATGATGATAAAAATTAGAAACAATAATATAATATAATGTCAAATATAATATAATATAAAATTAATATAAAATTAATATAATATAATATAATATAATAAGATAAAAATAAGATAAAATAACATTACTCAAGATGTATTCTTTGTGTAAAGCATGCCGAGACTTATGCAATTTTGCTTCTCAAGTAAACTGGTTTTTAAGGATGTTTTAATATTTTTACTGGAAAACAGACATACACTTGTGGAATACATACACTTATGCATCACTTAGGAAAATAATCTTTAGAGGCGTGGCTCTGAACACATGATTTGCTTCTTCACTTAGTTACACATGAGCTACAGTTTGGAATCAGCGAGCAGCTTACCAGACTGCATGCCTTCACTCCACCACATCATCCACTTGATTGGCTCTATGACTCTCTCTCCTGTCCACCTGTAGCTGGTGTGTGGTGAGCGCACTGGCGCTGCTGTCCTGTGGCTGCCGTCGCATCATCCAAGTGGATGCTGCACACTGGTGGTGGTTGAGGAGAGACCCCCCCACATGATTGTAAAGCGCTTTGGGTGTACAACAATACACAGTAAAGCGCTATATAAATGCATCATTCATTCATTCATTCATTCATTCATTCATTCATCTCTTCATCTTTTTCCATTGCGCTCTTCAGGCAGGGTGCAGCATCCACAGAGAGCGTCTCTCCCATCCGAGCACGCTGAAGAGAGACAATAACAGCCTTTATGCTGCATGCTGGAAAAATGTGCTGTCCCTCACATTGTTGGGTCTGATCATGTGTGAGCATATGGGTGATTCTATAATTGGAGATACATTTGGCATTGCAGAAAGTTAAGGAAAAAACTTTTCACTAACAGATTTTATTGAAAACATATTTAATTTTAATAATTCAGTGCTTGCCAAACATAAGTTACTTCCTTTTTTTACTTGTAATGAAAAAACAGATGTCTTTATGGTATTGTTTGTCAACTCTGTTACGGACAAATTAGCCAATGTGTAGAAATAACAATAAATCATAACAGGAAAAATCCTTCTTGTTTCATTAGACAAACAGTCCTTACATTCCATCACTTGAAACTGAGATAATATTTCACCTATGCATACCTTTTAAAACAAAAAAAATACCTATGTCTTCACAGAACCGTCCACTTGGAGCAAATATTTTTAATCTGAAAATGTATTATATACAATATCCCGTTAAAAAAAGAAATGTTGTTGAAATATTATAAGGGTGCAAAAATACATCAATAATGTTTATAAGGATTTTAAACAACAAATTTATTGTTTTTGTGAAAATAGTTCATAAACAGAGTTGACCCTTTAAGTAACAGAATTGTAAAGTAACAGAATTGACAATTGTCCGATGGACTGTCAATTCTGTTACCGCATTGTCAGCATTGTTACTCTACCTTGGTAACAGAGTTTGACAGTAACAGAATTAATCATTTTCTTTATTTTTTGCCAAAAACTCCACTTGCTAGCATAAATGCTAAGAGCACACGGCACTAATGAAATCATGGGAGATAATTCCACTAATTTAAAGGCAAAGTATTGTACGGTAACAGAGTTGACGCAAGATTTAAGGACACACATTTTTATAAGAAATGTTTTTTTAAAAATTTTTTTATAATGTTGTAGAATTAGGTAATGACTGTTTAGGGCTTTTATAAATAAAATGAATGAAATATTACAAAAAGAAAAATACAATAAAATATTTTGATTACACAATGATACATGATGGAAAAAATGCACTCACTAATTCGGACAACAAAAAATCATGATTTTCAGTTATTTAAAACACTTTTTGCAAAAAAAATTATATTGTTATGAACTGTAACATCTTGTAATTCATAACAATGAGTAACACAGTATTAAAATAATTAAAAAATATATAACCATTTGAAAAAAGCTGAAAAAAAATAATGACTTCGGACACCAAATATAGCTGCAATTATAGAATCACTCATGTGCAATTTGGAACAGAATCAAACTCCAGATAAAGACACTAGTAGGGAAATGTGACTCATTGCCTCTTAGATCGTGCAAATCGGCTTTGATGAGTTAAGAGGCATGTGGCAATAACAGAGTTTTGGAGTGTGATCAAACCCAATCTCAATCTGTCGGATCTTCTGTCTGTCTGCCTCTCATAGTCAGTCTTTGTATATTTCCCAGATGCCCTACATATACTTCCATTATTACCCTCTTGTGTTTGCTTCAACTTGTTAAACTTCCTCTCTTCACTGTAATTCGTCGTCTTTCTTTTCTCTTTTATGAAGCTCCACCCTTTTATTGACCAGCGCACTAACATCTGTTATCAGGGCTGTAGCCGACAGGCAGGAATGTGGGGTTTAGCTCAAAACAGCAAGTACAGGCAGGTCTGTGCTGTTTTGAATAGGAACATGTATCCTCTAAATGAAGATGTAGCGGGAGAGAGGCAGAAAATAGCCAAGTAAGACATCAGGGACTTTGATATAGAAGTATAAACTATATTTAATGCTTAGAAATGGAGGCGTAGTGCTTGTTGGACAACTGGAATAAGGTAAATGTGTATAATTTGTTTCCTATTTCACATTTTAAATAGCAAGCCAGTTGTTGCTTATCTCATTTTTTTTATTTCTTGATGGATTTCTCTCTTTACTGGTTGTTACATTTTTAAAACCTCAACAGAATTTAATGTGCAGGCAATTTAGGCTACTTTGTAGATCAAGTTTTTGAATAATGCAAGGGTCGGTTTGTTCAGGTGAAGTGGTTTCAAATATCAAAATGTTAGATTTGTGTGAAATTTGATTCAGTGCCAAGCAATTTAAATTCTTCAGCCTTCTTCTCCAATCTCATACAGGTGCTATCATTGAATCTCACAAAGTAATTAAAGTAATTAGCCTACCTCAGATTATGCAGTTATAGGTTTAGGTTTCATTGAATTCATTTCACCACAAGCCTGTTTCTAGATTTGAGGCTGCAAAAGTTACAATACACTCCGCATCTACACCGGACGCGACAGTTGTCCCGTCGTGTCACGTCGCAACAGATTGAAGTCGTCTTTCCACTATCTCCAACGAACGACAAGCAACAGACCGGAAGTCATTCATTTCAAATGGAGAGTAAAAAGTTTTTGTTAATGGTTTGTGAATTGGACCTTAAAATAAAGTGTGACCGTGTGCATGACACACTTCTGTATGTGACTAGCTAACAGGTAAATGTACAGTGACTGTATACACTGTGCTGTGGTTGAACTCAAAGACAGCACATTGAGCAAGAGCACAGGAATGTCAGGGCAGGAAGGTCTGTCTGTGTGTGTCAGAGGAAAAGGCAGCTCACGGCCGGTGAGAGTCATGTAAGCTGGGCCGACGGGGTAAATCAGCGTTATCTGTTTGCAAATGCCATTTGTGTGAGTGCAGACTCTATTCATCGGGGCAGTGAGTCAGCTAAGGATGCAGACGGGGAATGCCGGAGGCTGCATTTCTCCCACTCACACTATTGTCTGTACTGTAGACACTTGACCGGCTTAGTTGTCGTCTACAATAGAAAAGACAGTTAAAGAGAATATATAAACTTATGTAAGTATGTACAATATCCCTAAAAATTGATAGTTCAGCCACAAAATGAAAAACTGTCGTCATTTACTCACCTCAAGTCGGTCCAAACCTGTAGGAACATATTTCATTTAACACAAATAAAGTTATATTGCAGAATGTTTGAGCTGTTGTATAAATAAGAATTTATTAACAAAGCCGAGTAAAAGATATTGGTGGATATTATAAGCTTAATTCATTTTATAAGATTTATAAGGTTGTTTCAACACTGTTTTTGTCTCTGGCAGGATTCTCATGTCCCTGAGCGAGTAAGTGAAAACACGCTGGTCATGGATAGTTTGAACCAAAATCTTACCAGTGGACATCAGTCTCATCAAGTGTTCCAGGTGAGATCAAACTTTAATTACCACATGTGACAACATTTTATGTATATAGCGTTGTTTGTTGGGTTGTTTATTAGGAAAATAATACATAACACTTTTATTAAGCAAGGGAGCATTACTTTGATCAGAATCAGAATGAGCTTTTAGTCGACAAGTGTGCAAAAACACAAAGGGAATTTGTTGTGTTTTTCAGGAACTCTTGGTACATACACATACACATACATATTTGACATGGGAATATGTAAGTAATACTACTACTACCACTACTAATAATGTGGTATACATCTGGAACTGAACACTTATGTAGATTTGTGCATTATGTACTGTATATACAACTGTAAAAATAAAATACGTGTAGGCATTTACATATTTCAAAAGAGACAATAAAGCATTTATAATGTTAAAATCTTTGATAACAATATACACTACTGTTCAGAAGTTTGGGGTCAGTATTTTTTTTTCCAAGTTTTAAATTGATAAAAAAGTGATGTGATATATTGTTAGAAAATATTTATATTTTGAATAAATGCTGTCCTTTGTAACATTTTATTCACCAAAGAATCCTGAAGAAAAGTATCACAGGTTCATAGATATATATATATACAGTGGGTACGGAAAGTATTCAGACCCCCTTCAATTTTTCACTCTTTGTTATATTGATTCCTATCAACCAATCAGAATTGAGGGATAACTTTTCAGGAAATATCTGTTTTAGGCTTACGATCAGGGTTAGATGCTTCTACACCCTTTTTACATTTACATTTAGTCATTTTGCAGACACTTTTATCCAAAGCGACTTATAATTGTTAATCAACTATCATTTCACACTGATTTTAGGAATGAATAATGCTTAGGGTTAGGTTTAGGGGTATGGATTGGGTTAAGTCTATATTTTTGGACAGTTATGTTGATCCAGGAACATGTCTTACTTGGCAAAATCACGGCGACCGTGTGTGTGTGTGTGCATGATACAGTAAATAATATGATTTGTTTTTTTCTCTTCATAATTTTAATTTAATTTTAATTTAATTTATTTAATAATTATTTGAATAATTTTATTTATTTAATAAGCAAAAAAATATGAGCAAAAAAGAGATAGAAGCTCATAGAGGTAGAAAGGTACTTTCTTTTTTTCCCCCCTAATTACTATTTTTTACAATTTGCATGACAGTCAGAGGGTAAATCCAGTTCTGATAGCAACACATTTGTTCAACACAGCTTCAGTGCGCGACGCGCTTTTGTCTGACAGTAAAGGTTGAGTGGTCATGATACGAGGTGACAGGCAAAGTGTGAAACACACCCTCGGGGGCATCATTACCATCATCACCTTCTGCTTCAACATGGCTGCCACATCTATGTGGATTTCTCACTGTAGTAGTAGATAATCTATGGCAGATGTGTTGATGATTTCTTTATAAAACAACAATGATCATCTCTCACTCACATCCCGTAAGCTCTGCTTTAACTGATTACACTAATTGCCTCCTGCTAATCTTGCTTAAGCAGTCGGGTTTATCCTAAACCCAACCGTATACCACAGCCCTGAGGTGATGATATGTCTTTAGTGGATGTTTGGGAAGGTGGGTGAACAGCAATTATCTGGAAGGCAGCTGTACGGTTAAAAATAATATGCCTATATTGCAATAAGCTTGTGCAAAATGGAATCCTGTGCACATTTACATATCATCATGATTGTGCCTTGAACAGAATTTACTAGCCAAATAAGCTGATGGATTCAGCTAATTTCTAGTTGAAAAATGATGTCATTGCATGATAGCGGAATTACAGGGTACAGCTTTCCCCTCCCAGTCATTACCATTTCACATTGTTGCCATGACAACCTCCCCCATGCTGAGCCTTTAAGTTTCCACAGAGGTCTACTCTCAAGATGTGACTGAAGGCACTTCTCTCACTAGGGTTGAAGAGAATAGTAAGATGAGCACTCAACCGCCTGCCTAGAGCTCAGCTTGAATCACTACTTTGGAACTTCTTGTTATGAAATATTAAATCATTGTGGGCAATTTTAGCTGACGTATGAGTTGACTCACTATGTGTATGATGTATTTCAGCAGCACAATTGGCTTTTGCTTCTTAGATCAGACAGACATTTAAAGCAGTGGTTCTCAACCTTTTGGAGCTGAGAGGCCTAATAATATTCTGAGTTTTCTAGATGTTTGTGATTTGCTGGTTAATGATTAAAGGGATAGTTCACCCAAAAATGCAAACTGTCATTAATTACTCACCCTCATGTCGTTCCAAACCCGTAAGATATTTGTTCATCTTCAGAACACAAATTAAAGGGGTCATATGATCTGATTTCAATTTTTCCTTTCTCTTTGGAGTGTTACAAGCTCTTGGTGCATAAAGAAGATCTGTAAAGTTGCAAAGCCTAAAGTCTCAAATCCAAAGAGATATTCTTTATAAAAGTTAAGAGTCAACCACACCTACCTAAAACGGCTCGTTTAA